CAAAAATAATAGAAAAAGGCTTTTTTAGGGTTTTCCCGGAAATAAATAAATTTTTTTCAGCTCTCGAATCTTCCCTGAACCTCCACGAACATTTCAAGACTAAGATAAGATAAATCCGTTCAGCCGTTCTCGAGTTTTAGTGAGACTAATGAACAGCAATTCATCTATATATATATATAGATTATTATTATTAATAACACATAAATTCATTAACTGTCTGCGATAAATCAGTCTTAATAATAAAACTTAAATTTATCTCATTACAAAAAAGAATAAAAAGTATAAGTCAAGGCAAAGGAAACTACAAACATTTAGCTTTTGAGAGCCCTTACATAAAGTTAGTACCGTATAATCTTTTGTCTATTTTTATTTTATATCCACATTTATGGTAACGTGTTTGCAATTTAAGGCTTTAATAAAAACAAGAGAAAGAATGAGAAGGTAATAAGAAGATTTCAAAAATGTATGGATCTCTTTCACTTACACTTATTTCAAACAATTGATGTGTAGCTGTTTATATATGTAAAATAAATTACAATCATTACGTTCAATAGTCAACACTTTTGAAAAATTACTTGTACATTGAGAGATGACAAAAATTTTAAATGTTGATAACATTTTATAAAATAGTTTTATAAGTTATAATATTATCTTTCAGAAGAGATACCATCACAGAGGAGTAACTCATTCTAATTCTTGTAAACTATGCCAGTGGAATAATAAGGGTCTAGAATGTGACAGTGAACAATTCATTGTGGCTTGTTGATGTGAGAAATGATTCAATGAAAATGAAATTGCTCATAATAAAGACACTTAAACATAATGAACTCATTTTATATAGTAAGTGACGCAAAATATTTTAAGTAATAAAATACTCGTAAAATTACTATAAAACACGAAGATGCATCCCTTTTTTTAGTTATTATCAAGAAATGGATAATCAGTGATCTTATAAGTCCGATAAATATTCAAAGATCTTAAAATCTCAAAATCATTAATAAATAATTATGGCGGGTGCAACAAAGTGATATATGAAAATCCTAGAAAGGCCTCAGTTTAGTTGTTAACTAAATCTTTTTGGATAAAACTTACTTTGGCTTTTTTTGGCGAATATCAAGTAGCTCATCTGTAGAAATCATATTTTCAAATCAATTGTTGTGAATTTTTTTCAGGTTATGTAATAAAATAGTATTTCATACTTTATTTCATAATATTGAGGTTATTATTAAAATATCAATTATAAGATAATCATTTTACTAAAAAGCTTGTTTTCTTACTTGCGTATAGTTGATTAATCTTTAAGAGAAACACGAGATGTTGTCTTGCTGTTAAATCTCTATAAGATGGCAAAGCAATTTACAAGGACACTGAGTGTGGAATAGTATTATACACTTTACAGCTCACAGTGTCAAAATTCTTATGACTAAAGGTCTAGACAAATAAACCTTTAGAACTCTTTTAATAACGGTCTAAAAGAGATAGAATATAAAGGCTGTTATGAAACTTTCAATATTTAATATTTTAACTTTAAATTTATTAAATTACTTAAAGTAATGGAGGATATTTTTACACATTCAAAATTAGGAGTCATTGTCCATTCATTACTTTAATTGTCATTTGGCTCAAAAAGTAGAGTGTTCTGATTTTGATCTTCCCATTTCCTTTTGTCTCAATTAAGGGTTTTCATAAGGTCATAGTCCGAGTACTTTAAAATTTAAAAAGGGTAATAGATTCAAATAATCATTAGGGTAAGTCCATTTTAATTACCAACTTGCATAACTTGACGAATTTGAAATGCCTTTTATAATGAAAAGTAAAGAAGTTAAACCAAATTATTAAGGATATGGTTTTTTTAATGAAACTGTAGTCTTTTAACGTTCTTCGTTCTGTAGTCTTTTAATGTCTTTTAACGTTCTGTAAGAAATTTTTGATTGTAACTTATGTAAAATTACGTTATATTCAATCATTTTACTTTTGCGAAAAGGACTTTTATTTTTCTAAGAGTATATTCACCACGTGTAATAAAATTTTATGCTTACAGTATATATTGAAAACAGGGACACTTTGTTTCGTTTTTTACGTTATGGACGATAGTGGCTTTATATTTATAAAGCCATACTTACTGAGTATATTCTGAAAGCATGAAGTGGTCACCTAACTTGCTATTGAATAGTTCCACAATAGTTTCTCTCATGTGTCTAGATGTTATTACCTTACGAGGTTATCTTCTTTTTAAATTAAGGTTTCAGTTTATGATGGTAGTTTTTATTTTCAACTAATGTAAGTTGTTCCTTAGAACAAATGTAACAAGATAAATATTTTTGATGTACCGGCTTGAATATGTATTTAAACCTAAAAGCCATTTAATCAAATTTTATACTTAAAGAAATATTTTTTCTAACGTTCCTCCTGAACTTGACTCTCTAGTATAAGATAAAAAAACTTAATGCAAAGTTCCTCATATCATGTTTCATAAGACTAAGAATAACTAAACGTTAACTTATCCATTTTGATTAAAAAATTGAATAGAAGAAGTAATCACTATTAACAACAGCTGACATTCTAAGGTTCTTGCGTTCTAGTAGTGATATCGTGTCGTTATTATTATTTCAAATGTACTTATGAACCCAATAATTTATTGTTTCAGATATAAAAAACTGTTTATAAATCTCAATAAAGTTTTAAATACTTTTAAGATTCTTATGTTAAGATTCCATAATACTAGGACCTGGCATCTACTAACAGCGGAAAATTAAAAATCTCAAAATTGGGATAGCGACTTTTGAATTCAGGAGAACGTTTATTTATGAACTGATTCACATATACTTAACAGAAATTTTTGACTGCACTCGTTTATATTCAGCACTTGCTTTTACAAATATTGGCTTTAGCTAACTTAGCATAGCTTTTAGAGACGACAGTTTTAATAACTTTTCATATGAGGATTTATAGTTCAAGGAACACAAACAGAAATATTATATTCCAAGAGCCAGGGCCAGCCAGGCATTCGTTAATTTACAAAAGTTGTTAAATTATAAAATAGTTCACACAAAATACATTGCTTAATGACAGCTGATGCGCAGTAGAAGCTCGCAATAGACCGAGAGCACTAACTCACTCACACTCGCTCAGATATATGTTCCTCGCTCTCGCACTTACGGAAGACTTTCAGTGTGCCTGGCCAGGTAAAAGCACCATCGAAACTTTAGAACCATCTTTTCACTCAATGACTGATCTATATAACACATAAAAAAAGTATTGTTCAGAAACCGAAGAGCCTACCGTCTGTACGTTTACATTTGAAAAAGCATTTAACGAGAAAAATTTGTCCTAAGTAACTAAATTTGTCTTCTAAGTAACTAAATACCTACATATAAAATGTAAACATGAACATATCTATTCGTAACTTCATCGAGGATATGTTCCTTCCTCTCGCACTTACGGAAGACTTTCAGTGTGCCTGGCCAGGTAAAAGCACCATCGAAACTGCCTGGCTACTGAGTAAATATAATTTAATACTTTCCTCAGTAACATACATAAAAATCAACTTATATATGTACTATAACGAAAGTACAAATAAAATTACTTATAATTTAGGGGTTCCTGGCTGGGTTTCCCACCTTACTAAGTGCCGGGCAATTTACAGCGTGATTTCGAATATTATTACGATGAAAATATATCAAAACTGAATTTTGTACTAAGAGGAAAGTGAAAGAGAATTTTATACACCTTTAGAACGTGTTACCTGCCAAAGCCACCGCGATCCAAATTTCATAGGTGGGGATCGTGACTACCTATATTGGGTACATCTATAGAAAAACTTTCAGTTTTTGTAAATTAACGAATGCCTGGCTGGCCCTGACTCTTGCTCTATTAGTATAAATGTATTTGACTTTCGACAGGCAAAACAGAAACATTAAAATTTAAAAAAGAAGTTGAAACCATTTTGACATAAACAGTTTGGATAATAATTTAACAAAATTTTTAACCTCAACTTGAAGATAAATGTTGAATCACATACTCACAAAATATAAGAAATGTCGTAAATGCACAACCCAAAAATAAAAATACATCGCGTTGCTATCTCTTTAGAATCATCTTAAAAATTAAAAAAGCAATATTTTTAATCTTTTTCATAGTGCTAACTGCGAGCATGATTGGAACAGAATAATAAAAACTTAAGCTGTCAAGGGTTTCCAAACATGTTGTAGTAATGAACATGATCTATCAGTTATCTATAATTTATCTCCTAATTTATTTAATACTAGTAAACCTGGCGAACTCCGTTTCGCCACCAGAAGGCTTTTATATAACTTTTCGTTTGGTGATTAAAAGATGAAGAATTTTTTGTTTTATATTTGAAAAGGAAAATTTTTATTTCATTTCACAACAGTAATGAATTCATTTCGATTACAAAAATGAAGTGTTATTTAGTTGAACTTCTCTAAGTAAATGAAAATGAATCCAAAGTAGATACCGAATCGAAGCGTTATACGTGTCCGCAAATTATCCGTTTCATTGAAGTGCTCCTTTGTAAACCACATTTTTTGTTTTTTGGTCTAACTTTAACACAAATAAAGCGTATGGTTTCCAAACTCGTGAACACGCAAAATATAACTGCCCATGTGAAAAACAATGATTTTTCCAAATTTATCCCGCAAATACTAAATGGTTTTAGAGTTCAAACTACAAACACATTACCTAAATATTTTTATTTTTATATAGTAGATTTCTTACAAATATCTAATTGTCATCCAAACGTCATTACATATTTGTCATTATACGTCAATTGCATAGCTGTCAATTCTGTTATTCCACGTTTTCTAATGACTGACGTTTCATGTCAAGTCCCACGGGAATGCTGTCGAACAGGATGAAAAGTATCCTATTGCAATTTCCCGGTTCTAAACTACCTCCCTGCCAATTTTCAGCTAAATCGGTTCAGCAGTTCTTGGGTTATACGTGGAGTCACTAACACGACTTTCTTTTCTATATATAGACTAGTCGGGCAACTGGTTGGGCAACTGATCGTCCAACTGATCGTCCAACTGATCGACCAACTGATCGACCAACTGATCGACCAACTGATCGACCAACTGATCGACCAACTGATCGTCCAACTGATCGACCAACTGATCGACCAACTGATCGTCCAACTGATCGTCCAACTGATCGTCCAACTGATCGTCCAACTGATTGACCAACTGATCGACCTACTGGTCGTCCAACTGGTCGACCAACTGGTCGACCAACTGATCGTCCAACTGATCGTCCAACTGATCGTCCAACTGATCGTCCAACCGATCGTCCAACTGATCGACCAACCGATCGTCCAACTGATCGACCAACTGATCGTCAAACTGATCCACCAACTGATCGACCAACTGATCGTCCAACTGGTCGACCAACTGATCGTCCAACTGATCGACCAACTGATCATCCAACTGGTCGACCAACTGATCGTCCAACTGGTCGACCAACTGATCGACCAACTGATCGTCCAACTGGTCGACCCACTGATCGTCCAACTGATCGACCAACTGATCGTCAAACTGATCGACCAACTGATCGACCAACTGATCGTCCAACTCGTTTCTATCTAAAAACAAACAGGGCCTAACCCTCGCAGCGTCTACCCAGCGTTACACAATACAATATTTGAATCCAGTTCCGGCAATGAATCTTTAATATATGTAGGTACAAAAATATAACATGATTCTCATATAAATTTCTTTAACACGAACGAGAAAAACTTGTACAAGAATATATGTACTAAGAATATAGAAACTCTTTGGATAAAAAATGTATTTACTGGCTGACCTTTGTGAATGCAACATCTACGCGTGACATTTGATTATTAAGAAATAATGTTGGTTAAATGAAGCCATAATATACAGGGTGACTGGTGAATTACTATCGATACTTGAGGACGTGATATTTGAATATCATATATGACAAAATAAAAATTAATATAACATAAATATTAATAAACTTCTAAGTAAAGTTAACCAAAAGTTATGTCATTAATTACGCATCGTGTGAACACCCTACAGATTAGGTATACACACACACACACACACACATTCGCGCGCGGCGGCGTGCTGATACAACACGCGTCCACACTTGGAACACTTGGAACGTGTCCACACTTTATTTATTTATACGGAAATTTTGTCAAAAATGAAGTACCTATTTTTTTACATAATTCGAATGAGAATCATGTACCGAGTATTCTCCTAAAATATTGATAGTAATTCACCAGTCACCCTGTATATAAATACATATATGTACATATCAAAATTAATATTTATTATTTATTTATATGAAATTGGTCAAGAATTTGCTTTTCTATGTACTTTAATCAAATGAACAGATGTTTTGAAGGTAATGCTTTTGGCGTTTGTAAATTTTTGTTGTACCTTTTTTGAATAAGTAGAAAAATATCATAGGCGTAAACCTGGCGAACTCCGTTTCGCCACCAGAAGGCTTTTATATAACATTTCGTTTGGTGATTAAAAGATGAAGAATTTTTTGTTTTATATAAGAAAAAGAAATTTTTTATTTCATTTCACAACAGTAATGAATTCATTTCGAATACAAAAATGAAGTGTTATTTAGTTGAACTTCTCTAAGTAAATGAAAGTGAATCCAAAGTAGATACCGAATAGAAGCGTAATACGTGTCCGCAAATTATCCGTTTCATTGAAGTGCTCCTTTGTAAACCACATTTTTTGTTTTTTGGTCTAACTTTAACACAAATAAAGCGTATGGTTTCCAAACTCGTGAACACGCAAAATATAACTGCCCATGTGAAAAACAATGATTTTCCAAATTTATCCCGCAAATACTAAATGGTTTTAAGAGTTCAAACTACAAACACATTACCTAAATATTTTTATTTTTATATAGTAGATTTCTTACAAATATCTAATTGTCATCCAAACGTCATTACATATTTGTCATTATACGTCAATTGCATAGCTGTCACTTCTGTTATTCCACGTTTTATAATGACTGACGTTTCATGTCAAGTCCCACGGGAATGCTGTCGAACGGGATAAAAAGTATCCTATTGCAATTTTCCGGTTCTAAACTACCTCCCTGCCAATTTTCAGCTAAATCGGTTCAGCCGTTCTTGTGTTATAAGTGGATTCACTAACACGACTTTCATTTATATATATAGAAGATCTACCAGCCAATTCCCGGACGTGGGAACTAAAAGTCGCTAGGTGTGGTGCCCAGATCAAAAACCGCAAATTAATGTCATCTGACCTACAATATCAAACATATTATAAACTATGTACCAATGTTTTGTAACACATCAGTTGAATACTTTAGTTTAAATTGCTGTGTTTTATATTTTGTTACAAAATCGTTGAATAACATGTTCGTTTCATGGAAACATTAAGTGTAACAAACATTTGTCAATATCAAATCATTAAGATTAGTTCGTCTCTAGCCAAAATATTGGTGTGATTAATGGTGGGCTATAATTAATCACGTACTGTGTTACCGAGAGCTCCTTCATCACCCCATCTAACAGAGATAGATATAGATAGCAGGTTACGAGTGACGATACTTTGTGTTTATTTCGTATAAATGACTTCGATAAGAATAGGGTGAAACAATATCTTACATATTTGGTATTAATTTTCAATTATTTTGCTAAGAAGAAATTTGTATTTAAAAATAAAGTAGTAGAGTGATGGTACATATCCGTCATTTGATAAATAACTTATCTAACACCTAATATTCTTTTCCAAATTCAGTGAGTTTTTGAGAGCATTTCCGCTAAATTTCCAACTAGTCAAATTCTTAATAAAAAACATTTTTCTGTTTTATGTCGTATACGAGTACGTATAAACTGGTTATCTGATTTAAAATGGGTGAGTATATTTTACGTTTTATTATTATGAACAATAACGCATGATTATTCAAGTGGTAGCGGCAGGCTTTTGTCATTCTCATTATGTTAACGTAAATTGTTCGTGATTGTGCTCAAAATAAATGTATCCAATTTGTTTCATTGTGGAAAATTAATATACCGTTACTATAAAATTATTTTATCTCACAGTTAACAATTGTCAATTTTTTTATAATTTAATAGTGAATAATAATATCATTATATCAATATAAGTTGTGGTATGAATAACATAAATAAATGAAAAAGTTCTACATTACTCTAGCTTTTAGGAAATATATTAGTTCAGTAATAGATGAAAAGATTACCTTAGATGTCCTTAATTTTGATATTTACAAGAAATAATTACAAAAAATTAAAGATATTAGAAAAAAAATGTAAATAATTATAAAAAATGTTTACACAGTTTATAGATCTCGCTTCCTTTTTGTATAAATTTTTCTAATATCACAACTTGTAGTTTTAATATTAAGTGGTTCCTCTTTTAGTTAAACCAGAATTTTAGCTGAAATTAGACAATGTTATTTTAGATTAAATTAATTAGCCGATCGATGGCACTACATTTTATTTCAGTTATAAGTAAAGGACAGACATTAGAACTAAATGAGCAGCAATATTTATTTATAATATGATAAAATATACCATAATTTTTTTATAATATGATTTATCATTTGAGAACCTATTAACATTAAACAAGGTGAAGACAAAATACATCTGTTTCCATAAAACGGCTGCTTCGCGACCAGACATTGACTCAGACATAACAGTGCACACCAACCCGGAATGCTTATACGCTGATTCTCTACCAACATTAAATTGCGATTATACCGGTATACAAAAAGTACCCAATATAAAATACCTTGGAGTCATGTTGGACGAGAAAATGACTTTCAAGGAACATATCGGCAAGAACCCGCAAACTTATCCACGTTATAAAGCTGCTCAGGGAAATTGCAGAATTAAATGTTCTCAAAATCATATATTTTACGTTATATCAATCAGTAATTTCTTATTGCATCAAGGCCTGGGGTGGGGCAGCTCAAACTCATCTCATTACTCTGGAAAGATGTCAACGCTCTCTAATAAAAGTAATGCTTAAAAAACCATATTACTACTCCACAACAACCTTGTACAAAGAAGCCAAACTACTAAGCGTACGACGCCTTTTTATTTTACAAGCCGTCTTAGCCACTCATAAAATTGTATCAAACTCCGTGCCCAATAATACATCAAACCGCAGATATAAGGCTCCAAGTTTTGCAGTAAAAACTGCTTTCGCAGCTCGGTTTACTCCTTTTCTCTTCCCCTTTATTTATAATAAAATTAATAAGATTTGCGACCTCAGAAACCTGTCATACAGAGAAGTAAAAATAAAAACCACAAATTTATTAATAAACTGGTCTTACGATGACTCCGAACAATTTAAAAATAGTGAAAAAAAATTGTAGCAATGGTAAGCCTGCTTTCGTTTTTGGATAAATTTAGAGACCCTTACCAACTTGGAAGCGCACCCACACATACACACACACACACACACACACACACACACACACACACACACACACACACACACACACACACACACACACACACACACACACACACACACACACACACACACACACACACACACTCACAAACACACTCACACATAACCTCTCTCTTTTACTGAATCGTTGAATCGTTGTTCTGATGTAAAACTTATTAATAAAAGTCACATGTTTTTCTCAACGTTCCATATAATGATACAATACCTATTCGACTTGTAAATAAATTATCTCTTACATTATTATATTCTTCATATTTTTTTTTTCATGCTATGGCTTCAATCTCATTGGAATCGTGTAATATTTTACCAATGTCAACGTTTTTATTTGTTGGACGAATAATTGTAAACTTGAGTACCGGGTGGAGAAAACACGATCGAACTTGTCGAATGGAATAAAGGCGTTTGTTATATTTTTTTTTTAAAGAAGACTCCAGTTATATTTTCACCAGCACCTAGATCAACTTCATATATTTTTACAAACTTTTTAATTTGATACTTATGTCATTGCGACCTCTAATATGAAAATTTAGATGGATTGAACTAATCAACTGATATACCTGAGTATACTGAGGATACCCTAGTATCAGGCTAGTTCGTTTTTTATTCCTTCTAAACATGAAGAAAAAATCTGTTATCGCTTTTGGTACATAATTTTATTATATGCATGTTTTGCTTTCAATATATGTATGTATGTCATGGGGATCTATCTAATCAATCAATATCAATCCAAGCACACCACATAATTATCTGTAGATATCCATTAGGTTGGTATTTACAACATTTTGTTGTTATTTTTTTATAACGTCATTTTAACAATATAAATTAAATAATTTATTTTTGTGGCAGTATTTGTAATTTGGGTACAAAGTTTCTTAGCTGCAAAAATAAGGGCTGAAAAAGTATGTTTCAGCTGAGAATGAAAACGCAGAAAATCCTTTCCCTAAAAGTTTGGAATTAATGTTATTTGAGGGTTTTCTGAAAGTGGTTTATGCCTTTTTTGAAAAACTTTCACAGTTGATATAGCCTGAAATATCATGGAATAGACATTACAGGATTTTTAAAAATTGTACAGGTGTTGATTTAAAGAAATTAAAGGCATCTACCTTTAATCTTCTAGG